CGAGCGGCTCGCCAAGCAGGGCCTATGCCCTCCTGCCACTTGCCCCTTTCTGCCCAGAGTGAGCTGTGCCCACATCCCACCCCTCCTACCCCAGCTGGGCAGGTAGCAGCAGGGCAGAGCCCCTGCTCTCAGCACTGCCAGGCCCACATCCCGCAGCCCGCCTCCCCAAATAATGCACCCCCTGCCCTGGCTGGGCAGCTTGTCCCAGCCTCAATCCCTCCCTCTCCCACGTCCCTTCCGTCCTCCCTCCCCCAACCCCAACAGACTTACCAGCTGGAAGCAGCTGTCAGCTGCCTGTTTAGTCTATGGCCGAATCTCCAAATTGGCCGAATCTTTTTCTGAAGCTTTTCCAAATCAATTCGGGTGCTTCGAATCAATTCGGAGCTTGTATTTGATCTCCTGATTCTATTCGGATTCAGAGATTCGGTCCCCAAATCGGGCTGAATCTCCTCCAAATCAAATCAGCTACCAAAGCTTCACACAGCCCTAATATTAACCTTTCATCCCAGAACTTCCAGGACAGTTTATCTAAATGAAGATTCCCTGCTTTCAGGTAAGTGAGGTAGACACCTTACAAGAAAGTGATACTCCCCTCTTGTGCTCTTTCTCATCCTGTAATTCTTGATTTCCTTGCTACATTGTGACACAGCTTCAACAGGAAGAGTGGGAAATATTTTGCCGACTAATCTGGTGATCAGGTCACTCTCCGAGGAGAGAGATTAAGCCCAAATCTCCTGAGGATTTGGTTTAGTCACTTGGCCATTATATCAAAGTGTACCCACCACTACCACCAGATACCTTTTAAAAGAAACCATGGTTTGTGAAGGGATCAATCAGTGTGTGGTGTGTGTCTCGGCCGGGTAGAGCCGACCGAGGGAAACGCTGGTTAATTAAGCGAACGTCAGGTGGGCTGGTGGATGGAGAGGCGAGACAGCGTATTGGTTGCAAAAATAGTTTTTACTTACGCCGCTGGTGGCCGCGACGCAGGCTGTAAAGGCTGCTTGTGTAGTTGCAACGAGTTGCTTCAACTGGCAAGAAACCGAGCCAGTGAGTCCCCAGACGAACCGGGCAGGCAGGGGAAGGGGACATAAGGGATA